TCAACGTTTCAGCCCCACGTTTTGGCTGCAGTCTTAACATCACTGATCGGTCCTTCTCCACTGTCTCCCCACTACCTAGGATCAAGCTAAAAGCCAGGCACTTGCACTTGATCCAAACAGACCATCAGTGAAACTCCACATTCCTAAATATTTGTTCTTTGAAATGTCTTTCTCAATTAGATCTCACCCAAATGTTTGAAAGTCAGGCTGAATTCCAACTTCCTGCTCCAGAACAGACATGTTGAGCCTGCATAATTACTGCAGCCAGCTTTATTTGCTATAAAAACATGGATTTTTGCTCCTTCTCGACTGTAAAATAATCAATAAATAGAATCCAGATGAAAAATGCCAGCATTTAGGAGAACAACTCTTTTATGATTCTTTTCTTTTGGGTCTAATTAACATGTTGGGGATAAAGTGTGCTATTAGATTTACCCCATCAGCAAAGTTGAAGCACAAACTCTCCTCTTCCTGAGGCACAGCTTCACATCAGAAATCCAGACAAGCAGACAGACAGACAGTTGCAACACATTTTGAAATGCTCAACCAAGAGATCTGTATACATGTGATGTGGACTTCCTGTAGTCTCTGCATCAGCTGTTCATTTTTTTCCCTCTCCCCTACGAACACAATGGATAGTTACTGTCAAAAAAGAAACACAGCTAGTCCCATTAGCAGAAGAACGATCTCTCTGACTTCTTTCTTTTAAATGAAGAAGCCATGTCTTTTTGGACAATGACCACCCAGGCCATGAAAGTTTCATGAGGGGTTCTCGGAGTGGATGACACCTTTTCAATTATAACACTGCTATAATAAACCCCCACAGAGCCACAGGGCACAGAATCTACATCCAACACACAACACCTATTTATTTCCTAATTACATTGCAATATATTCACTCTCTGTATGTGTGCTGATGAAGATAAAATATTCCTTTAATTCCATGGCCACCTGGGGGGGGGGGGGTGAGGGGGAGGGGAGTGTGCATAGGCAAGTCCTAGAGTTCTTGGAGCTAAATCATAGCCTTTGTTCCAGGCTCTCCCCTTCCCCCTAGCATAGTCTTAAGGAAATCACTCATCTTCCCATTCTGCCACATGGGTTCTCAAAGTGTGGTCTCAGGACTGCGCTCATCAGCATCACCTGGAAACTGTTTAGAAATGCAAACAACTCCAGGGCCCACTCCAGACCCACCAAATCATAAACTTTGAGGGTGGGGGCCAATAATCAGTGTTTGCACCATCCCTCCATGCCAAAGTCTGAGAACCACTATTCTACAAAATAGGAAGACCATCATTTTAACTTGAATCAGACATCAAAGACACCTAATTCTATAAGGGTCTACCTTCTCTCACTGCATAGCTGTCCCAATCTACAGATTGAGGGCTCCATTTACCCATCTGCAAAATGGGGTTGCACACTTCACCAAGCAGCTGCCAAAGCTGGGATTTAATGGGCACATGGTTACCTGGCACCAGTCTCTATGGATACCTAGCAAGATCACAGTTACCAGCACTCACCCAGCTCCCCCCACCGCACACATACATATCATTCTTCGTCTGATAAAAGCTCTGCAGAGCAGTTCTCCAATGCCACATCAATACAATTGCCTTGGGTCACCCTGGCAACTAGAAGCTGGGGGCATGGAGAGAATTTGGAGAGAATCTCCAAATCTCATTGCCAATAGCTTCCTACCTTTCCACCTCAGAGCTTTGAGCCACCAGAGGGAAGCTGGGTATGTTTTTGTTATATCATCCACTTCAGCACTGCTTCCCATATCCCTTGCATATTTGCCTCCACACTGCAGCAAGACCCTGAGACTGCGACGGGCAGAGGTGAGATATCAGAGGTATGGGACGCCCCCTGTGTGATTCATGGTTGTAACATCTGGGTCCTTACAGACACCAAGCACTAAGTAGGCACTCCAGAGCTACTTATTGACTAAATGTTCCTACTACAGCAAATGCCCTGGCCATAGGAAGCCCAGAACATTCAAATATCTTGATTCTAAAAGTTATAGCTGGAAAGGGGCAAAGAAATGACGGGGTGGGGGGAACAATTGGAAACAGAAAAAGAAAAGGTGCCACAACCCCTGGTTGACAGGATGCTGACTTCTCAGCCAAGTCCTCATCCTCCTTCACCTCAAACTAAAAGACCTCTGAGGCCAGTTTCTGAGCTTGAGTTCTCATTGACCTTGACTCTGATGTCCTTGACCAACAGCTGAACAACTCTTACTGGAGCTTGCCTGCCTCCCTTTTAGTACTGGAGCTCTGGGCCCCACAGTCCTCCACCCCAGGTGCAAATCTACCTGAAGCTCAGTTTCACATTCTACCTTCTCCAGGGACTATTCCTAATTTTGCCCTCCAGAAGTGATCTCACCGAGGTCTCTATGCACTCTTCAGCTACAAAACAATGGCTACTCCTTCCCTGTGGCTTACACACTACAGGGGAGCCAGGCCTGTGAGCTCCTTTTACCCCCAGACTCCAGAGCAGGTGTACTCTAGGTATGCAACAAACAGCCACATAAATCATTCATCCTAGATGAAACTGAAGAGTATTGATAAGCAAAATAAGCCAAACTCAGAAGAAAATCAGGGTCACAGGCTTTGTGTTTTTAATATATTTTTTTAGTTGTAAGTGGACACAATACCTTTATTTTGATTTTATGTGGTGCTGAGGCTAGAACGCAGTGCCTCACAAGTGCTAAGCAAGCGCTCTACCACTGAGCCACAAGCCCAGCCCATATTTTCTAACATGTAGAAACTAGAGAGAAAAGAGGGAGGAAAAAGGTGAGGAGTGGGTGTTGTGAAAATAGAAAGAAGACCAGTTGAGTTAGAGGAAAGCAGGGGGAGGAAACAGGGAAGGGAAAGGGGGAGGTACTGGGGAATGATATTGACCAAATCATGCTGTTACATTGTGTGCGTGTACATATATGTACATAAGTCCTACAATTACGTATAATTATAATGCACCAACCAAGATATGTTAAAAAAAAAAAAAAGATTCCTCCTGGGAGTTGTTCACAGCAGGGCACCTAATTAAGAGAATCCAGAGAACAGTCCTGGGCTTCTAATCTCTCATTCCTAGCCCTCCAACCTGTCAAGGTATGCAGCGGCCTGCTGAAAACACCTGCCCCACGGTAAAGTCCGTGTGGCATGTTAGAAAAGGCCCTGAACTGGGAGTCAGGAGAGCTGGTTGCTTCCCTTCCATCCTTAACCAGCTCTCAGGGCGTCCTTTTACTTCTCTGGGTCTCAGTCTGCTGATTTATGGAATGGGAGGAAGAGGTGAAGACTGACATTGTAGACTTCAAATTTCTAGAGGCTTAAAACGATATTCGAGCTACAGAGAGCTGGTGCGTAGTGAGCGCGGGGGAAACCCGCCAAAGGAGCGGGGGATGGAGCGCTGCGTGGTAGGTCCAGCGCCCTGGGGCACCCTCCCCAACCTGCAAGGAGCAAGGGCCGGGGGTAACCCTGTCAGCAACAACCCCAGCTTTTAGCCTCGCTAAACCTCTCACGAGAATCTCTCGGACGTACATCAACAAAGAGGGCTGCAAGGCGGAGACCCCGCTCTCTCCAGGAAACCGCACAGATCGGCAAATCCCAGAGGAGAGCAAGAGGAACCGCGCCTCCCGCAGGATCCGAGAGCCCCAGCCGGCTGCCGCGCGCCGCCACCTGGCCGGTACATTAACCCATGTTTCCCCGGCAGGGTGCAGGAAGGGGCATGAGTACCCTTGGCAGAGCAAGCCGAGATGCCCCGGATCCCAACCCGCCGGAGGCCCTACTCGATCTGCTCCTCAGGGACAGAGAGTGGAAGAACCTAAAGCGGATCCACTTTGACAGATCTTTCCTGAGAACGTGGCCACCGGGAAGGACTCAAACTAGCCTCGCCTGGCGCGGTCTAGTGGGAACGCATCCGGAGACAGGGCTGCAGAGTGCAGCCGGGGGGCCAAGTCCGGGAGAAAAGAGCAGGGGCTGGAAGGCGCGGGATAGATACCACCATAACGAGGCTCCGCGCTCCCAGCTCGCAACGGTTGATGGCTCTTTCCCACTCGCGGTCCCTGACGCCCGCAAGGAACAATCTTTGCCTATTTTTAAGTCATTTTTCCTTCTAACAAAGTAGGAAAATAAACCCAAGCCAAGAAGGAAGGCTGCTGCACTGGGCAGCTTGAAGGGACCACGACGACCATCCTTATCCCCACCTCCAACACTACCGCCCACGGCTGGGAGAGAAGTTGGGAACTTCGGAACCGCGATCCAGGAGCGCGCTAGGAGGGATTGGTTTCTTTGAACTTTGGGAGCTAGGGTCGCCGGCAAGGACAAGAGGGATGTCTGATAACCAACCCACAGGGCAGTTGGGCGTTCCAGATTCCCTGAAGTGAGTCGAGGAGACTGGATACGAAGGAAATGATGCGGGCAAACGTTCCGCTTCCGCGCCTCCCAAAAGCCAAAAAGCGCGTGGCACTGACTGGGCTTTGGCAGCGGCGAGGCGCACCGCTGGCTACTGCTGGGAATCTGCCCGCGTGCCCGCCGGCTCTGCGTCCGGACCCGGGCGGGAAGGGCGTGGGTGCAGTGCTTACAGCCGGTGCACCCCGGGCGGCTCCGGGGCGGGAGTCCCCAGATTCTCGGGCGCTGACGTGCGCCCTCCCCGGGACACCCGCGCCACCCTGCTGCTCTCAGGTCTTCCCCCGCACGTGGAGGCGCGGCGGACGCTGCGTCCTGACTGCGGCCGGAGTGCGCGCGCCTGCCCACGCCAGGGCGCCACACATCCTGCCCGGACCCCCTGGCGCTTCCACACGTCCCAGCGTTCACCTCCTACCCGCGCCAAACTCGGCTTCCGAAGCCCGGACCTGGGCCCGGACCAGGTAGCGGGGATCCACGGAGCCGATGGAAAGTTAGTCGCGAGGCTGCAAAGCCCCCTCCCCAGGATTGGAACACATTCCTGTCCCCTTGAACCCCTAGCGCTCTGAGGCTCCGCATCTTCGCGGACTCCACCCAGCCACCTACCTGCTTCCGCGGCCCGCCCAGGGCTCAGCCAGCCAGTTGCGCGGTCCAGTCCTCCGGAGCCCGAGCTGCTCCAGATAGCTGGGCCAAGTGCGGGAGCTGAGAGCTGTCCAGAGTCGGGCGACGGGCGGCGGGCACCGCGAGCGAGTGAGCGAGCAAGCTGGAGCCGCGGCGGATTCTGCTGCCGAGCCAGCCCCCACCCCCTCCGTCCCTCGGTCCCTCCCTCCTCTCTCTCCCTCCCTTCCAGCTTCCCTCCTCCTTGCTCGCAGCTCTCTCGCTCGCTCTCCCACCCCCTTCTTCTTCTTCTTTTTTCACCCCTTTCTCCCTCTTTGGTCCTTTCAGACCCTGATCATTCTCTCTCTCTCTCTCTCTCTCTCTCTCTCTCTCTCTCTCTCTCTCTCTCTCGCTTTCCTTTTTCTCTGGTTCTCTTCTTTCCAGCATCTCTCTGTCCCCACACCCCTTGCGTTCTTTTGCTGTCCCTTTCTGCTCCCTCTTTTCTCTTTTCCATTTCCTCTTTTTAACCTTCTCGCATCTCGACTCCCTTTTCTCTTCCCAAGTCCCCCTTTACCTCCTGGTGAATCAGAGTGGCCTGTGCGCCTACTCCTGAAGCTCAGGAAGGGGGCGGAGGGGGACTCAACAGGGGTTGAAGGGGGTCCTTGGCACCCTCCCCCCAGGTCATACTTTCAACAGCAGGGACACAGATGGATCAGTTCTGGAGATTGGTACTCAAGGCAGGGACTTGAGAAACGTCTGGGCTGGCAAAAGGCAAGAAAGCAAAAGAACTCAGAATGTCAAAACCCAAGTAGGGCTGAGCAGCTCCTGGTGAGATGAGGAAACTGGAGCTCTCTCAGCAAGGAATGTGCCTTGCTGAGGGCTACTCCAGCGGCGAGGTCTAGACCACCTCTGCCTATCCGCAGCATGAGACTGGGCTCCGCTGACCTGAGAAATGCTAGGGCGCCTGAGGCCAGCCTCCCGCTTTTAGGCTCTTCGCATGCCCCCGCGCCCAGAGCCAAAGGAAGAAGACCTCTCCTCCTGCGACAGCACCTTAAGCCGCCCGGATCCCTGCAGCACTCCTAACAAGGCCAGGCAATGGGGGAAAGCTGGCAATTTTGAGTGGTGCAGGAAACCCCTTCTCTTCCACCCTCTGCCCTTCTCCAAGAAATTCGGGACTCCTGCTTACAGGGGCAATGGCGCGTAGGCAGGGTCTTTGCTAGTGGAGTTTGTCTTCTTTCCTTCTTGAATTAAAACGGGAATGCACAGGCTTAAGACTGGTGACTGTACACCACTCCCGCCCCAAACCAGGAAGAATTTTGCAAATAAAACAGGCGTATTGTCTGAGGCTGTGGGAAAAGGTCTCCAGACAGGTTTCCCAGCACTTAGCCTCCTCCTCACCCGCTCTTGACCAACCATCATTAAGGATGTGATGGGGCAAGCCCCTCCCCTAGGAGCTTCTCCTGTGACTTCCTCATTTCAGTCCAGTGGGGTTCAGAGAGATGTAGTGTCTCCTTCACCCTGGACTTCACTCTGCCAGCTGATTTATAATGGCAGGATCAGGGTTCTCTAAGTGTCAACCCTATCTGCTAGGGCCAGTTTGTTCCCCTCCTGTGGTCCCAACCAGAAATTAACCATCCATCAAGTCCTGTGGTAAAAATTGGCTTTGGAGTATTGGCTCTAAACAATTCCATACAGATAGTCCCATCAGTTCCTCAAGTTGGGGTATCAAATCAAATGGATAAAGCCATGCCGCGTCTGTTCATACCACAAAACCAGATGCCCAACATGGAAGGAGGCCTTTGCTCTCAGGGTTGTGCAATTGCATCATGAGCACCCGAGAGTGAATGCCACTTAAATTCTATACCCTAAGGAGCCTCCATACCTCACCCTAGTCCTGGTTTTGCAGGCAAACCTTAGGTTGACCAGTTGTCTGGCCTTGACATTCAGCTGCTTTCTGGCATTTGATTTCCTATCCTATTATGAAAAGGCTGAATTAGATTTCCCTAAAGGTGTCTCTGGCTCTGGGTGCTAGTTGGTGGGTACCATAGATGCTGAGATGATAGGCCTGTGCCACCACTCACTCACTGTGACATTGTGCAATCAGTTAACCTCTCTAGTCTCGGTTTTCCTGTCTGTAAAATGAGAATGATAACAGTACTGTGAATCCTGTGAAGATTAAATGAAATAATGCACCAAAGCCCAGCTCCAGGAACTAGAACTGTTAGCAATTAAGATTTTGCACAGCTAGGCTGGGGTTATAGCTCATGGTAGAGTGCTTGCCTTGCACATGTGAGGCACTGGGTTCGATTCTCAGCACCACATAAAAATAAATAAACAAAGACATTGTATCCATCTATAACTAAAAATTTTAAAAAAGATTATGCACAGCAGGTTTTGCATGTCTTCTTCATCCTCACATTTCCTTTTGGGTTATGAGCTTCTGTTCCCACCAATTCTTTTACTCTCACGCTGTGGAAACCATGTACTTGGAATTCTCAAACTTCCCTTCTGACAGGCTTGGGGAGGTGACAGGTCTTCCTAGATAACCATTCCATCCCATCTTTAGAGCAATGCAGAGGGAGCCACTCCTCCCCCTTCTCTGTCTCACATACTCACACACCACCGTCAAGCAGCCAGTGTGTGCCTGAGGACTGCTGGGGATTGCCTGGTTTTCCACCATACTCTAAAAAGCTACATGGATCTATAAAGCTGTACCTTCACCACCCAGATGGCAGGTCTCCAAGGACACATGTCCCAACAGAGCCAGAAACACTTTTAGCAAACATCTCTGAGAGTGAGCCCGGGGTCATGTTGGCGCCCACAATCCATCATTCATTTGCCAGTCCCTGAGAGCGTCCTCTAAGGAGGCACATCCCACTGCTGGAGCCATCTCTAACCTGGCTGCAACAAGCTTATCTTGGAAGTTATGACACCTATAACCACGCTGTTCACCTAAGGACATAACCTAAGAAAAAAGTCCCCCTCTCTCAGCCATTAAGCCTGCTATCCAAAAGATTGCTCTTTGTAATCCCAGCAGCTCAGGAGGCTGAGGCAGGAGGATTGCAAATTCGAAGCCTCAGCAACTCAGCAAGGCCCTGAGCAACTCAGCGAGAACTTGTCTCTAAATAAAATACAGAAAAAAAAAAGATGGGGATGTGGCTTAGTGGTTAAGCACCCCTGAATTTAATCCCTGGTACAAAAAAAAAAAAAAAGTTCGATTGTGATGGAAACTTTGGAAGATGGGGCCTGGAAGGAGGTCTTAAGGTCACTGGGGACAAGAGTTAGTTCTCATGCCATCTCTTGATTTCTTGCAAGAGGATTGTTATAAAAGGAGCAAGACAGTGGGAGTGGTGGCACAAACCTATGATCCCAGTGGCTCAGGAGGCTGAGGCAGGAGGATCATGAGTTCAAAGGCAGCTTCAGCAGAAGTGAGGTGCTAAGCAACTCAGTGAGACCCTGTCTCTAAATAAAATACAAAATAGGGCTGGGGATGTGGCTCAATGGTTGAGTGCCCCTGAGTTCAATTCCCGGTACCCCCGCCCCCCAAAAAAGAGCATGACTGGCCAGGCACCTCTCTTTTCTCTCTGCTCCTCTTTGAGATGTGATTCCTACTTTCTCCTGCCATGATGTGCTCTTCCCAGATGCCAAACAAATGGGATTGTCTGGTGTTGGACTTTGAACATACAAATGTGAGCTAAATAAACCCTCACCCTCCCCTTCTCCATATATATAAAAAGCTTGCCCTCTAACTGGGACAGGAAGACAGTAAAAAGAAGAATACAGAGAGGTGACAGGCAGAGGCCTGGAGGCAGATGCCCAACTTCAAACCCTTGGCTCCATCACTCACTGGTTATGTGAACACTAGCAAATCCATTTCCACCTCCTGCCTGCTTTAGCCAGGTCAGGGGTAGGGGATGCAGAGGCCAAAACCCTGGTGACCACACTGGGAGGATGGCCTCTGTTTCAGGAGTAAATTATCAGAAGGCTAGGGCCCCAGCAGAGCCTCCAGCCACAGCCCTTTCCCTGGCTCAGGTGTTTTCCTTCCCTCTCCCACCTTGGTCTGCTGGCAGCTGAATGTTTCCTCTCTTTCTTGCAGAGCCCTGCTTTAAGCCCCAGGGAGGGATAAGCACAGAGATTCCCAATAATGACTGTGATTCGCTGTGAAGAAAAAATTTTGGAACTTGTAGGGTGTGTGTGTGTGTGTATGTGTGTGTATAAACATTGTCAATGAAACTTTATTTTACTTATTCATTTATATGTGGTGCTGAAGTTTGAACCCAGTGTCTCACACATGCCAGGCAAGAACTCTATCACTGAGCCACAACCCCAGGCCACTTGTAGGGTCTTTTAAACTCTTCAGGCAGAAGGTGACACTCTAGCATGCTTAAGTGGAAATGTCTATCTCCCACCAGATTCTAAGATATTTGGAGCCAATGCCATGTCTTCTTTACCTTTAGACCTATTACAAAGCTTAGTATAGGATCTTGCCTTGTTTAAAGAAAAAGTAAACTGGGCATGGTGGCATCCGCCTACTGTTATCCCAGAGTCTCAGGAGGCTGAGGCCGGAGGACTGATAGTTCAAAGCCAGCCTCAGCAGATTAGCTAGGCCCTGTCTCAAAATAAAAATATTAAAAGGGCTGGGGATATGACTTGGTGATTAAGCACCACTGGATTCAATCCCTGGTACCATACATAAATAAATAAATAAATAAATAAATAAAATGGTAAGCTATCTACATTTTATTAACAACATACACCTACAATATTATTTAAATCTCACAACAATCCTATATAGCAGGCATTTTTGTCTCCTTTTTGGAGAGGGGAAGCTGAAGGTCCAAAAGGTTAACTTACCCAAAACCCAAAGCCACATAACTGGTAAATGACAGAACCTAAATTTGAACTCAAGGTTGTTCAAAGTACCTTCCTCAATACTGCGGTTTCTTGCACTGCAGGGGTAGGACTAGGCAGAGGCAATCAAAGGGCAACCTAAGGAGACACTGTTCTCAGGAGCTGACTACACGTGCACAGCCCTAGGAGAAAGTAACCTTTGGAATCCACGCTCAGTTATAGGAGACTGTGGAGTCCTATGGTTCTAGCCATTGATGAGATGCATAGAAGAAACCATTTGACAACCAGGATCTAAGGTAGCTCACCAGCA